CCCTATCTCACACCTAAAGACAATTTAGAGTTACCAGTTAACCTAACAGTCATGTTTTTGGTCTGTGGGAGGAAGCTAGAGTGCCCGGAGAGAACCCACGCATGCACGGAGAGAACATGCAAACTCTAACCAGAAAGGTCCCCGGACCGGGATTTGAACCGGTGACCTTCTTGCTGAGAGGCATCAGCTCTACCAACTGAGCCACCGTGCCATGCCGTATTGTTTTTGAAAAACAAACTAAAAAAATCAATATCTGTTTGGAAAATGWAAAAAACAAATAGCCATCCATTTTTTTCATTTTTCATATTTGTTTTTAAAATGAAAATCCAATGACTAACAYGGACCTAAAACACATTCATTTGACKTACTGTTTCTCAGTGTGTATCTTTACACAGGTCCTGGACATGAACCTTTYGGACTACTGCAGCTTTGATAGAAAAGACAGAGGTAATATTTTTATGGAGGTGTTTTMGAAGCAGGGCAGGAAGTGAACATCTGTAGTTTTCAGCTGGAGTCTCCAGGCTGTCWATGACCTGAGGGTAAGCCTGGAGCTGTGTGTCTCCCTCAGCACGGCTCAGGCAGGGCGAGGTGTAAAACCTGCTCCTATRGAAGTCCACACAGGTAACCTCTGTTTTTGTAGCTTTGTGGCACATCCCGGCGAGCTCAGCCTTCTGATACGGTTCAGCTGCATCCAGATGATTACATGCGAGGCATCAATCGTATCGAGTGAAAACAAMGACACGCTGTCACATCAGGGCTGATTACTAAAGATTAAAAATTCATTTCTATTTTGGTTCKCCTGATGTGCGCGATACAAACCCGACGGTTGCTCTTCTTGTCGAAGTTATTGCCCTCAGCCGTGTGGAGGATAGATGCCCGTGGGTGGCTGTTCCTGGGTTTAGAGGAACGCGAGGCTTTGTCACCCACAGATCCATTCTCAGGATAATTGAAGCTGGATCTTTAATGCTCCTCGTGTTGCTCGAGCACTCTTTCATGTCTCTGATGTATCAACTCCCTGCTTTCGTTGCTCTAGAAATTCAGAGTTTGCTCCCACATCTTCACCTCACAAAGAAGACGATTTGCATGTTTCTCCTRGAAAGGCTGTGCCCTTAAAAAAATACAGATTTGAGCAGATTGTTTCCCATTGATTTTGTCTCATTTTTTGGCTCTTAAGTTGTGCATTATTGAAAATACTGCCCGTGTCGTTTTTTGTGATTTTTTTTTGTCGAATTAAAATAAAAAAGCATTGTGGGAAGGCATGCAGACACATTTACGACCTCTCATCCACTCATCAATCATCAAAATGCCCGCTTTCTCATTCTGAGTTCAGCTAATTTTACATAGTGAAGCAGTTTTATTGCTCTCAATAAATCACTGGATTTTTTTTTTTTTTTTTTGTAATTTCTTTATCGCAGAAGCAACAATCCTTCCCAATGAACCTAATATTACAATTATTTGCTGAAAGTGGCCAAATCAGTTATGGACCAGATTGTATAGAGAAGAGTAAAGATAAATGTGTTTTCTCTGCATTTACAAATTTTGATTTTTCCGTTTTTTTTTTCATTGATTTGTCAGTCTAATAAGGTTCATGAAGTCTTAGTGATGTGGATACAGTATGCTAACAAAAGCATCACTTATTACAACAAAATGCTAACATAAAAAAGTTAAATCAGCTGAATATTTTCTGCAAGGAAAGGGATTTGTAGCAGCTTTAAAGTTTTATTTCYTCTCACCCTGAGTGTGGCAGCACACCTCGTCTTTACTTTCCCACCTTATTTTCTTCCAAGAGCACGTCCTGCACAAACAACATCCTGGGGTGCAKATCATCTCCAACCAACCCCGGGTTCAGGACGAAACACACAAAACAAATATTTATACCTGGAAGACACATTCAGAACTCATTAACTCTGTCTGTCTTTCACTGTCCCCCTTTTTCTGTCTCGCTCACACACTCACACACTCACACACACACACACACACACACACACACA